CAACACTGCAGTGCATTGCAAAACTTTGTCACCATTCAGCTTCTCTGGAAAATAGGCATGCCTAGGCCAGTATTTCTTGCTGTCAGTAAGCTCCATTCAGGCAATCTTCAAGTTTATCTGTGAGTCAATAAACTTCCTACTATTTGTAATAAAGCTGTTCAGGACTGGTTTGTATTGAAATGATTTTATGGATGTAATTCCTTCAGCTGTGGAGGGAGAGAGAGAAAGCTCGTACCGAGATGATGTGTTGTGTCCATTTTTACAGACAGAGCAAAGCATTGCAAGTACAGTACATGGCAGGACCAGGAGCCGAGGGAGGCTCTCTGAATCTCGTTGCTCTGCCACAAGAATTTGGTATAATTCTTGTCTGCAAAAAGTAAAGCTGACTCTAACTTCAGCAGTGTTGTTTGGTGTGGAAATCTCTTGTCTATACTTCATGAAAACAGAAAATAATTATGCATATTTGTGTTAGTAGCTCAAGTGTAACTTTGGAAATGGGGAAGTAGGAATTTATAACCCTAGAGAGGCCCAATCCTGATGCCTTAAAAACTGAGGCATCTTTTGCGACTTGTGTGTCCTTCTGATGGTCCAGTGCTTTCTGGGTACATACCTGTGATTATTACAGTTTAAGGCTTACTTTCAAATGTCCCTGAAGTAAAAGCAATACTTTTTCCAATAAAGTAGCAAGGTGGGTTTTTTGAGTAAAAATTGATACAGGGTAGGGGAAAATGATTGCCCCAGATGTAAATGCAGCATATCCCTGTACAAAAAAAAAAATGAACAGCATATTAGATGTAACTTTTTGAAATCTTTCTTTCTGCCTTTCTTTGCTGTCATGTTTCACAGGTGCTCCAAAAAGTATAGTGAGTAATCAAGACCTCTCCCTGCTGTGGTCTATTTTTTTTTGTTCATGGCTTTACATGCTACTTTCAAATTTGTGCATAAAAAATCAAGCTAACTATTTTCAAAGCATTGTCCCTGATGAGACAATGTTTATTCAACTTCTTATATCTTGCTGGCTGAGATAAATTTCACCTGGGGACAGCATCTGCTCACTGATTCGTCACCTTTTCTTTTTCATGCCCTTAAGCTGTTTTGACACCAGAGGCTTTGCAAGCTCCATGCGATGCGTCTCATGAAACATCAGCAGCGATACAAAATGCAAGGAAAACAGTGTGAACTGAAGCTTAGTGAAAATAGAGTTGTGTAATATGGCACTGGTTAGTGGCTGGATGACAGCCATGCTTGATGACATAAATTTAATGGCATGTGTAACTGCAAAGAACAAAGGAGTTAATCAGCAACAAAACTATATGTAAGAAATGTTACTGTGTGTAAATATGTATTAAAGTTGTTGCCATAAGCTTATGATAGAGAGCCAGCGTGCTGTGGTTTAGTCTCCTAATACTCCTTTTTGAAAAACTTTTTTATTCATTTTAGGCTTAGTTCTCTGGGTTGTTAAGTGATGGTGAAACAGAGAAACACGTCCGGCAGTGAATTAATTAATTGCCCCGGTTGAAGATGCAGCTTTTTACAGAGGAGAAAATATCATCCAGATGATGAATAAAAACAATTCCTTCTCATGCAAGTGAAGCACTGTAAATAAATTATATTGTGCTTAGCTTCTGTTCTCTATTTTTAAGTTTCAGTATGCTACGGAAGGACCACTGTTCTCCTCTCAGCTCTGCAGAGCTCATTGCTTTTCACTAGTCACTAGCAGGACACAAGTCGTGTTTTTCCTTTAAGATGCCTGGTTCTATCTTTTGCAGCCCTGCACTATTGAGAATTACGATGTAATGGCATTATAGAAAGAAATAGGTATGTTTTGTGCTTTCTCCTGTACTGCCCGAGTGTGCTTGTCTGCATCTGTGACATGGGGGTGATGAAAGTTAGCGCTGTCACAGCCAGATGCAGTAGTGTCGTGAAAGCATGTATGATGTGGTGGTGTAGAGAGGGCTTTGCAAGGAAAGGCCAGTACGCAGTGTTCTGTAGTTAACAACTTCAGTGGGTTTTGGGTGTGCTGGGGTTTTTTTCCTTTTCTGAAGAGAGCAGTCCAGGATATAGACTACCATGCAGCTGTCCATGAATATTTTTCTACTGTTTCTGTTCTGAACCCAACTCTCTGTAGTATGAAAGCTGATGGGCTAAAAATCTATTCCCCCATTTTCCAACTTTCCGTACCTGGCTGCTGATTTACAAGGTTTTTTGTTCAGTAAAGCTCTGTAGATTAGGGATGGTAAGTGCTCCCCTTAGTCCCTGTATGCCAGCATTTTCACAGTTCCGTCCAGTGGTCAAACTGGAGGCTTTTATCCAGAAGTGGGGAGACAGAGAAGTAAGAAGATGAAACTGTAGGAGCAGAGTGGTGCTCTGATAACAGTCGTTAACATTAACACAGGCCTGTGGTGCATGCAGCTGTTTGGTGATATCATAGCTGCTGCATGCATTTTGGGATTGGGCAAACTTCAACATGCATTTTGCTATGCAGCACTCCGTTTGCAAATAGCAGAGTGCCCGTCCTTTCACCTGAAGTCGGTTCAGAGCTGCGTTCCTCCTGCTGTCAGTGTGCTGGGCAAGTGTGATCGTGGCGATGTGGGTGAGCCTGGCCAGGGCCCTGGGGCAGCTGGTCTCGAGGGCAGAGCAGGGTGTGCGTGTGTGCATGCACGTGTGTGCGTGCCTGCCAGGAAAGTGAGTTCTCACTTCCCCTGGAAAAGGTGGAGTGCAGCTTCTTGCTCCTCTCGGGCTCCTGTTGGGTTTATCTTTGACATTTATAATGTCATCTGCACACTTATTTTTAGTTTCTAGCCTTTCTCTGTTGAACTTTTATTACCTTTTAATTGCCTAAATCAGGAGACTTGTAGCTGATTAATGTTTCCCTGCTGCAGCTGGATCATCTAGAGCAGGCATAAACCTTTCCATGCCTTACTGACTTCCAGTTCCTTTTTAAAGACCTGCTGTCGTTCTTATTGTACCTTTTACTAGATGAACTGTTGCTCCAGCTGTGCATTTGCATTTTGTGCTCTTCATGATTTCATGGGTTTATGCATGCAGCCATTATGTATGAAACCTTCCTGTATCAGCAGTAATGACAGCAACACCGATGGTTTTGGCAGGTAGATTCTTGTTTGAATTGTGGTTAAGTTTCAGCATTGCTCCCTGGTGAATAAGGAATTTCAACAAACACACAAAAAAATGACTTCCATAGCTGGAATGTTTGGTGTTGTTCTCTGGTTGAGGAGTGAAACAAGGTGACTATCACCTTTTTTCCCTCACAGAAGTCTTCCCTGTGAATGAAAGTGTTATGAAGCAGCTCCTCCTGTTTCTATACTGAACTTTATTCTGTGGATGAAATAAAAAAGCCAGTTTCTGATATGCTTAGTCTGTTGTTCATCCCAGATGCTAATGGTTAGATTATCGTGATATCCACCTGTCCCAGCAGATCAAGGTTAGAGATCATTTAGTACTGGCAAATAGCATCTGCTTTCTTTTGAGGTATGAGGGCCACACAATGCATAGTTCTACTTTACACATTTGTATGAAGTGTGATTGTCAACTCATGTCTTTATGATGCAGCTTTAAGAATATGAAGGGGAGGTTAAAGTTTATACATGATCCTACCAGTTTGCAGGGAGAAGTTCCTTCATATTGAGAATCAGTATGTTTATGGTCAAGTGCCGGATTAGATTTTAGGATTTGTATTTGTGCTTGAATTCAATAGAAAGTGTTATTGTCTAAGACTGTTTATAGTCCTAACTGGCATTCGTAAAGCTAGTGCAGTCACTAATCCCGTGGGAAAGCGCCAAACTTGTCAGTCTTTATAAATTGCTGTCTTTATGACAGGAAACTGAGCAGGGAAGAGTCTTGTATCTGAGCGGAACAGCAAGTAGAAAACGGGTACCTAAGGACAGCTATGTCTCCAAGTTACTGTTCTCGATGGTGGAAGCAACGGCCAGAGCAAAGGTCTTGCTGAAGGATTGGATCCGAGCCATGAGAACTCTGTGAGCCTCCGGTAAATGTTTTGGCTGGCTGGATGAGGAGAAGACCTCCTGGAGTGCAGTTAAAATCTGGGCGGTTTCTTTTGTTTCTGTTCTGCTCTCTCTAAACATAGTAGCTATTATTATGTATTTGTTGGTTGTAATAAAGTACACTCTTTACTTTTCACTGAACACGTCATCTGTTGAGAACGATTTGAGGATGAATGGCAGGGCACTGCCAACAGGGTAGTGAGTCATAAACGGAGGGTCAGTCATGCTTGCAGTGGCCAGCACCCTCAGGCAAGATTCAGATTCCTAGAAGGTCCCTAGATGGTCCATCTCTGAGCAATGCAGGCTGGCTTAAGAGCTCATAATCATGAAGGTACCTCCTGCTCCAAGCAAGCCTGACAGGCTGCTGGCAGTAGGTGCCTAAACTTCAGCATCCACTGAGTTTGTGTTCTCGCTTGTGGTTGACTCCGTGATGTGAAATATTGTTTAATAGGACCAGGAGCATTGTGGCGTGCTTCTGAGGGGCTATAACTCACATGAATGCTTCCGGATGGATTTGCTTATTCTGTAAAGGTGATAGGTTAAAGGCCATAAGTTCAAGTCCAATACTCAAAGCAAAAATTTTGAGCATGATGCAAAAAAGTAGTAAGAATATACAGTTTGTCTAAATGCACTAATTCTAAAATTTAAAACACTTGAAAATGTTTTTGAAATTTTATTCTAAAGGTTACATTGCGGGCTTTGGGTGGAGGGGTGGGATTGTTTTGTTTTTGTTTTTACTTCCAGAGAACAGCTCTGTTATAATATGTAATTACAGTGGCCGGGGCGAATGCTTTGTTTTATGTGTTAAATAGCTCAATGAAGTGGGAAGGAAGAAATCAGTTGATGGACATGACTTAGCCTGTAAAGTTCAGATGTTTCCTTTGCAGCAGACACTTTAACTGAATGTTACAAACTGCTCTTGAGAAGTACACCTTTTAATAGATGCCACTCTTTTGTTTCCCTTTACTTTTTTTGCAGCAAGTGACAGGCAGAAGTTTTGGTGAGAAAGATTTTCGTTCTGGATTAGAAAACGGGATTCTTCTGTGTGAGTAAGTAACACTTTTAGTTTTGAGCCTTGTATGCAATCTTGACTGCAAATGAAATGAACTTCAGCTAATATCTCCAACTATTAGTTTCCTTCTGCAAGTTTTGACAATATGCACACTAGTTCTTTCACTGCAGTATCCTTTCAGTGCCAATGCTATTGTTATGGTGCAGATTGAAATGTGGCTTAATGAAAACAGGTTTTGCAGAGCGCTTCCCTCACTCCACCCCAGCTCCTTAGTGAGTTATGTGAAGTAAAAATGATGTTTGCTTTTTGATTTCCTTTTATTTAAAGATGTTAACCACAGATTGGCGAATGGTGTTCCACACCTGCCTACAGACATCTTCACTTCAGTGAAGCACTTTGGACCAACTCCAGGTCAAAGCGCTTTTGAGACTTAACCATCTGAATACTATCTATAGTTAGCTGCTTTTATAATTTCTGGGAAGTTTAGGCATCCTCTGAATTTTACTTAAAGGTATATTTGAAGGATATGGTTTGTTATTTTTAGACAAACATCTAGTTTTCAGGCTGAGACTCCCCAAATGATTGCCAACGATAGATGCCAAAGCTGGTGACTTTTAAGTGGAATTTGGAGCTGCGTGGAGCTAGTGCTATGTGCACTAGCACATAGTTCTTTTTAAACCTCATGTAGGATATCAGGAGTTTGAGAAAATCCACTGCTCTGAATCATCTGTATGGACTGATTTCTTTCCCCAGACATGCAGGGGTGTCACTGACATAAAAGCTGTTTTGCACACCAGAAGGATGAAGCTGGTGCAGAACTGAACGCCTACTGACATTTTATAAATGAGGCTTCCTGAGATGTTAAGCTGGTACATTGCAGCTATTGGTTACGTTTTATACTATGAAAGATACTGGAACTTGGATTCAGTTTTCAGCTGTATCGTTGAGTTAATGCACTGTAACTCACCTCTAGGTAGCTTAAGATAGCTTTGAAACCAACTGGTGTAAATACTGTTGTATGTCTCACTAGTGTCATTACTCACATAGCTTGAATTTTAGCTGCTAAAAGGGGGAAAACTGTAAAGGAAATGATACCTTGTTTGATTGCAGTTGCATGTCTTTGGTGAGGAGTGGCTTTGGGAGGAGGAAAGTCATAGTAATTGTTGATCAAATGTTGTGTAACTTGGAAGGAGCCTGGAGTTTCCCTCTTTGTTTGTAAGGGCTGCTCTTGCACAAGATATTTCTCCTCAGTGCGTCTGATAAAAGCACGGTGTGCTGAATCACTTCACAGTGCTCTTTAAATGTTAAGGTGTTGAATTGCATGGCATGAGGAGTAAAGGATGTGTATTTCAAGATTAGATTCTAATCTTATCTGTGAGTAAACAGAGGTACAGAGGCTGTATGTGAAGATGTGAAGCTAAAGTAACTAATGTTTTGCTATTGAAACCCATAAATATATATTTCTTTGGAAGCTGTGGGCTCCAATAATAAGTGATTAAGAGACAACACTTGGTTATGCTACTAACTTGCCCTGTGATAGTGGACAAATTGCTTTTTCTTGCTTATCACCTGTGGATCAGTGCAGACCAGTCTGAAGGGATGGGTGTCCTCAAATTTGTGATGTTTGCACATTAATATGGGCTGTGATGTTTGTCTTACTTTGTGCTCCTGGCTGCTGCGGTGAGGGGATGAAATTCTGTTATGCTACAGAGCATTAAGCAGAGAGCCACCAGTCTGGCCTTCGAGTTTGGCCTTTTTGATGATGAGCAATTTATGAGGTTAACAAGAAGAGCTTCCTCCTCACTAGTTCTGAGTCCACTGTAAAATAAAGAGCTCAGCTGAAACTTGTAATATGACATTGAGAGCTGTAAATGTATGTTTGAAAAGTACAGGCTTCAGCAGATAGTCAGCACTGATACTGTTTTGTATCTTCTGCTTAGTCAAGTGGTGGTGATAAAGCTACCACAGGCAATATTGTCTTTGTGGGTAGGGTTTTTGTGGTTTATCAGAGACTTCACCTGGTTGGTGGTACTGCATGAAGAAAATCTAGTGGTGCTCAAATTCTCCCTTAAACTCCTGCCAACCTATTGTGCTTTCATCACAGCTTCTCCCAACAAGCTGATGAAGACCTAATCTCAGAGTTTCTCATAAGCTACAAAAGGCAAGAAAGAAATTATGGCTGTCTTAGGTTTGCGAAGGTGGAAGGATTTATTGCCTTTGGTCTGGTTTATCTGATTTGTTGCTTGAAAGTTTTAGGAAAAAGCTAAACTTGCCTGGATTTATCTCCGCAGGGCGGTACTCGTGGCTAGCGTTCCTTAACTGGCAACTCACAGCCAGTCACTGGTGTGAGTGATGTCCGTGTAAGGGTGGAGCTGGTGCTTGCTTCTGCATGGCCCACTGTTTCAGTGTTTTTATTGTCTGTTGTATTAATGGTCACATTTTGTGCTGAGGACTGAAAATGAACTCAGATCCTGAAAGATTCCCACAGCTGGAGGACTTGATACTGATGTCATCAGGCAGACATAGCTGGTATACCCTGACTCTCTCAACGTGTGTCTCTAGCTGCCCTCTGACTTTGCAGGCTTTTTGCACAAGGGAGAGGAAGAAGGACAGCCACCACACCAGAGTCCATTCCGCTTACCATGCAAAATGTGCATGCTATGTGCAAAATGGCATAAGGGAAATCTTCATCTCTGTCTAGAGCAGAATTGCTGGCGCATTACACACAGTATCATTCTAGAGCTTCCTCCAGTTGATCCCAATGTCTGTGGCCTACACTTCCTCACACGTAGCTTCCTATTTCAGAAGGGCAGGACAGGAACCTTTCCCTTCTCTCTTATATGCTCCTTCAGTGGGTGTTTGAGAAACTGTAGTGACCTTCTCCTGCAAGCCATTTGCAGCATTTCCCTACCATGGTGTTGACAGACCCTCAACTCTTAAGTGTCCTCTCTTCAAGCTGGTAATTAGCATACTACTGAGATGTGCATGTTTAGGGTATTTTATCCCTGTAAACTCAGGCAGACATCACTATGCTGGTTATAAATGGTTCATTGACGTTTTTTCTAACTGGTCTAGTAACTATCCATGTATTTTAATAAAAGAAAACTGCTGTGACTGTATGATGCCAAAAGCTTGCACTCTTGGGAGGGATGTGTTGCTGTGCACCAAGAGCTTGAATAGCTGGAGAAGGCTTACACTCTGTGCTGGTCACAGGCATCTGCAGGCACTAAGCTGGACTCTCTGGTAGTGTTTACACAAATACTGCTGCTGGCATCTAGATCTGGCCTCATTTCTGCATTTTTATAGCTTGCCATATTCACCTCAGGAACTGAGGAGCATATTTAAACAATGGAGAACGCCATAAAGTTGCAAGCTGACAGATGAGAGTCACACAAGTCCTTCCTTCTTCGTGGATTTGAAAGCACACTTGTGCAGTCTCCCCTGATGGTACCAGCTCTAATTGTTCGCACAGCTGTGCTTAGAAGCCAATGACTACTACTTCTGTTTTTCTGAAATGATTTCACGGCTCTTTAGCATAGCTGCGTGACATAAGTGCAGATGGTAATTTCAGCAAGGGGCATCAGGCAGGGCCAGGCAGAGGAAACTCATGCTCTGCTGTCCTGTGCAAAGATTGAGGAGTTTCCTGGCTCTGCTGCTGCACGGGTGGGCAAGTCCACCCCTCCTGGAAACATGGAGGAAAGCTGGCTCTGTGAGGCAGGAAGACAACAGAAGTAACAGCAAATATCTCTAGAAACCCCCAATTTCCACCCCAGCACACATCCTTTTTTTTCTTGTTACCTAGCTTTAGAATTTCATTTTGACGCAGATATCCTTAGATGCTAGAGGATTAATCAAGAATAAATTAGATCTGGTTGCTGCAATGATTAGGTGTTCCTGTCTACAAGCACCTGAATGAAGGCTGACTGCAAAAGAAAACGTATATACTGATCTCCCTCCTTTTGCCCAACTGATTTGATTAGTTCTATTGCTTTACTTAAACAGCAGGTGAGGAAATTGAAGTTGCTTTTATTTCTCATCATGCAGCAGTTGCTACTAGTAAGTTTAAAAATTATTATAGGAAAACAAACATGCATATGTCTTCTTACCGTCTTGCTCCATTGTTATTGCTCTAGTATTTTTGCAAGTGTGTTGTCTAAGGCGAGCAGTCCCTTTCTAGTGGAGGAAGTATGAAGTATCTAGGAATGTCACTCCCTTTCAGCAGCGCATATTAAGAATATATGTTTTTTAAAAAAGTCTAATAAAGTTTTTAGGCTTTACTTTTAAAAAAATGAGAAGTTGCTCATGCACATAGATTATTTTAATAGTATTGAAAGAAAAAATGAAGTGTAGCTATAAATCTGAGGGAGCTGAAAGTGATTGTGATCAAAAATTACTTAATGGAATTTATCATTTACTCTGTCGTGAGAATCATTTTCTTCTGTAAATAAGGAATCTCCTTTGTTAGTGTTCTTTATGCCACTGGTGATGAATGAGCTGCTTATTCTCAGACAGCAGAGTTTCTTCAGACTTGCATCATGGCTATAGTGCATCTCACCAAGCTTTGGGCTGACATGAATGCTGTTTTCAGTAAGGCCTGGATACGTGCCAGATCACTGCAAGTGTAACACTGTGGGATAATAAAGCTTAGTCTTCTGAGTCAGTGGTAAAGTTAGGTATGGAACTGGACTTCAGGATTGCTATAATTGTTTGTATTGTATTTTAGTTGCTTGACTGTTTAAAAATCAAGTTCTGTTTGCAAATTAATGTAATTTATGTACAATTGCCATGCCACTTCCAGAGACCTTGTAGGGGAAGCCATTACTCAGTCTTCTTCTTTGATTGCAAGATTTTGCAGATATTTTATTTTACTTATCTGTCAGAGGTGTAGGCCTGGCAACAATTCAATGCTTGGCTGCGTAGCGTAGAGCCCAGAGACTCTTGTCTTGCCAGATACCTCACTGGGGAAGTTAGTGGATGCCCAGCCCCTTATGCTTAATTAAGTTTTGCTTGAATTTGCTGTTCCTGGAGACTAAGAAG